GGCGGGGTTTCAAACATGGCTGGGGACGGAATTTAGCTGGGCATTTTTTTTTTTTTTGAGTTTGAAAGCTGGTATCTATGGAGAATATTTCTCTGAGAAGGTTTCTAAGGCCAGTGTTTAGACAAACAGCGAACACAGGCACACATGTGTAACTGGCAGAGTGAAAACAACAGCATAAGAAATCCGTTTTTGTGGAGACTCAGAGCCTGGAAAGGGGAGTGACCAGGAGGGAGAAAATGCCCTCTACTATAGTTTGGTTATATCTGGCCCCTGTAACAGGATTAAAAGGGTGAACACTTGATCCAATTATGGTGTCAAAAGGTAGGGCATTTGGGAAGAGATTAGGATTAAGGCTATTAGGGTGGGGCTCCCATGACTGAGTTCTCATGGGATTATAAAGAGGGAATAAAACCAGAAAAGAGAGATTGATGGACACGGTCACTCTGCAAGATGCCCACCAGACGGGCCCTGGGCCCTGGGCCTCTGAACTGTGAGCTGAATAAACCTCTATTTTTATAAATCACCCTGTTTCAGGCATTTTTCTGTTATTAGCAACAAAATGGACTAGGACATGCTCCCTCACTAGGAAACAACAACAGTTGCTTTTCATTAAAAGTCATTCATTCTTTCATTAAACACTTTCTGTGTGCCAGGTACTTCCCTACCCTGGAAATAAAGGAGCTTGGAGTCCAGCTGGGAAAGAGGCCCATGTGCTGGGACGTGTCCAGGCGTGCCTGGGCTTTGGAAGACCCTCTCCCCGAAAGGGGAGGCAGCCAAGTTTCTGGCTCTGGACAGAGAAATGACCCCAAGATGACTGGTTTTTGCAGTTTGGCTGCCATCTGTCGCATTTGTATCTACTCTAGCAATAATTTATTAAAATTGTTTTCCTGCTAAATGAAGAATGATTTGGAAAGAAATAGAAAGTTAAAAAAGAAATAGTTGTTTCCCAAACACATAGGGAATAGCTGTAAGGATGCTGGAATATAAATGATTTGAACAGTGATATCTTTGTGAAGGTGTACGGAGGATGTTACATGCAATGATGTTGCTCAAAAAGCATGGAACCTGGCCCAGTCTTTGCTCTTCACCATTCAGGAAGTAAAAACGTAAGGTCTCAGTGGGCAACAGCAGTGCTGTGAGTCAGGAGGCCTGACTTCTAATGGCAGGTCCCAACCCGCCTCGAGACCCAGGCCCATCCTGCACCTATGAGTGCCCTCAGCACCTCCACGAATCCTGCAGATCCCAGGATCCCTTTTCCATTTTCCATTTTCCATTTCCTTCAAGCCACCCAGCATCACAAGATGGTATTATTTTCCCCAGAGCAGGCTCAGAGGCAGACCCGGCCCCCTCTCAGCTGTATGCTAAGCAGCTCTGCAAGGCTCAGGGCCAAGGGCAGAACTGCCCGTTTTTTGGCAAGTGGATAAAAGCCAGAGGCTTTGGAGCTCTGCGATCTGAGATGATGCAGTGAATGAGTAGGCTCACTCTAAGCCAGGACCTGCGACCCTCTGTGTGTGCAAGACGCAGGGAGGGGCCTCAGCACACCGTCCCCTGATGGGGTGACCTGTGCAGCCTGGGTGAGCACCCCTCTCAGGCCCTTTCAGGCAGGACCTCACGGAGGGCACAGTGTCTCTCACAGCTGCCTACGCCCCACAGAGACACAAACAACACCCTCTTTTGAGTCAAACAACTGACCACCCAGGCTTGCCAAAATGAGGACAGGCTCTGAAAGGGGGTAGTTTTATTTCAAGGGTCTAATGGGACCATGGAGATGGGATAAAAAGTTTCAGCAATTAAAAAATAAAAAGGCAATAGACCATCTTCTTCCAAATAAACAAACTATCCTTTGAAGAAGAAGACAGCCGGGTCAGGCTGGGGCCAGCTCACCATGGAGCCACACCCACCTACCCCCCACCAGCCCTCCTCTTCGCAATCCCAGCTCCTCGATTTTCTGCTCTGCTGCTCTGGAGAGCCTGGTGCTTCCCTCCTGGGGCTTTGCCAAGAACCAATCGATGAGCTCATCTGACAGATCCTTCTAGAATATGCTTACATTTGGAAAGGGGGCCGTACAGATCTCTAAGGGTAGAATTCCCCTCAGAGAAATGCTTCTAGAATCTCTCAAGTCACGTAATAAAGGGAGTTACCAGCTCCTCAGACGATAGGACTCATCCCCACCACCAATTTGCACTATTTTATGAGCTTTCAAGAAAAAATCTAAGTAATGGTTTTTCTCATACTTACAAAGGCTCTAATAATTATATCTTAGTACTTGCATGAACATGTGAAAACTATAGTACAATATGGCAAAAGAATTTAGACAGAGTAGAAACGCTTTGAGAATTCTCTAGTCTCATATGTAGCTTTGATGAACAGTACTCATAAGGCCTGTTTCCTTATCTCTGGTTTTTCAGCATTTTCTGCTCTCATTTGGTTTTAACTTTCTGAGTATCAGGATCGAGTCAGACATTTGAAATATGATTTTGATGAAATGGAATGTACTCTATGTTTTTCAAAGAATATATAAATAGTAATCACAATCCAATACAAACAGTAAAGATAATTTGAGAAGAACTTACTTCTCTGGTAAGCGATTATATACTCTGAATACATACTTGTTACTGAAGGAAAAATACACAGTCATATTCATAGCATGTAGTTTAAAGAGAAAGATTAGGAATTTTTGCTATTAAAAACTTTAAAAAGGGGCCAGCAGGTGGCATGGTGGTTAAGGAGCTGGACTCCTACATGGCTGACTGCAGTTTGAGTCTTAGACCTGGTGGCTGAAAATCATGCTGGTGCATGTGATGCGTGCTCCAAATCCCAGGAGGAGAATGGAGGAGACGGGATTGTGGTATGGCCACCCCTGCCCTGGGGGGATGAGGGCAGTGATTTCTCATTGTCTCTCTCTAGCAAGCACATAGTGCCGTATGGCAAAAACAAAAAAAACAAACAAACACACAAAAACTTTAAAAAAGGGTAAGATCCGTTTTAAAAATATGCCATTCAATGGTTTCACTGAGGCCTTAGGTAGTTGAATAAGCACTGAATGATGAGTGAAAAGCTTTCGGTCTATTCTTAACAATGCATCTACTACTCGATACCTAGTTGTACACCCCCAGAGGAGACACCTTCTCTGCATCTCTGTTGTTTCCAACTCTAACCGCAGGTTTTAAGACAGAAACTGTCATGGAGAATAACATCCAAAAATGCTTCTAGCAGTCAAACACATACTTTTTTTGAAAATTTGTTTAAAGAATTATTCATTTATTTTATTTATTATTATTATTTAATTTGACCAGAGAGAGAAGGAAAATGAGAAAGCAAGCCACAAGGTCCAGGACTCAACCTGTGGTTGGCCATGTGGGAGTCCAGTGCCTCGACCACCACATCACCTGCTGGCCCCTACACGTACTTTTATTACATTTTTTACATTTTGTTTTAAAAATTATTTTATCTAACTTTATTTATTTTAATTTGACTAGAGAGGGACAGAGTGAAAGATAGAGAGAGAGAGAGAGAGAAAGTGAGAAAGCAATCCACCAGATCCAGGTTTCAAACCGTGGTCAGCCATGTGGGAGTCCAGTGCCTTTAATCACTATGCCACATGCTGGCCCACAGTTTTACCTTTTTAAAAACCACACTAGGGAATAGCAGTTCAGGCACTGTGCTTGCAGTGAGACTAACAGCACCCTTCTCTGGCTACATGGCCGATGCTGAGAGCCGCTGGGCAGTAGGCACAGGCCCTGGGTCATGCTCCAGCAGTAGCATATGTTTGCACTGATCCTTCAACACTTTCTCCTCCGGCCTGTGCCTAACAGCCCGGGATGGCTCTGAGTGAACCCGTGAGCTCTCAGACACAGAGACCAGGATTTCTGCCTCAACTCGGGGCTCTCAGCCACTCAGTACGCGTTGTCAATACAAATCACAAAGGGAACAGAAATGCCTGTTATTCTGTTGCTGGAAGACAGACATGTAACTCTGCCCTCCATTGTTGTTAACTTTTACCCTGTGGAGACAATTACTGGGGTCAAAGCTAACATCCCTTATGGAGCTGAGGGTCTCAAAACAAGGTCTAGAAAAAGCAAACAATTACCGCTATGATGACGTGATTCTGTTGTGCGGTGGTGCGAAGAACCAGGGACTTGGAGTCAGGGCTCCCAGAAACAATTAGTCATGGCGGTGTTCCTAACCGAGGTATGGGGCAAACCCCACTTCCTTTTCAAATCTCTAGGTCCTCGTCTGAAAGCATCTCTTCCCTCATAGGGCTGCCATGGCAATGGAATGGAGTGAGGGAAAGAAAGCACTTCGCCACCTTCTAAGAGAGATTCCCAAACACATCTGTTCATCTTTGCAAAATTTGAAGATTACTGGAGAAAATATAAGTTAGGATTTATCTGGCAAAATCTTCTGTTGGAAGTGCCACAGGCAAGGCCAGGTAGGGAGAGGGCAGGAGGCCCTGGCAGAGCAGCAGAGAAACCACCCGTATACCAAGGACTTACCAGGTAACGCTCCTCCTGCCGCATGCTGGGGGTGCGGATCATGTGATTCTGTTCCCCTCTCCAGTCTCCAAAGCGACGGAAAAAATAGTTGGATAAAAATCGGCTGACGGGGTCTCTGATGATATTAATGTAGACGGGCTGGTCTCCTCCGAACCTAAACGTGCACACAGACACCAGATCGTCACGACCCATACTCTGGAGGAAAGGCAGGCCACTTAGATGACGCTTCCCCTCGGGGCTAAGTTGTTTTCAAAGATGACCTTGTCTGCTGAGGTGCTGATGGGCACCATCATAAGCAGGCAGTGTTTCCTGATGGGCATTTAATTCATTCATTAATTTTAAAAACTGCAATTGCTAGAGGGCTTGTGTGCTTGTCAGAAAGAGAAGGGGGCAGGGTGAGGCGCAACCCCTCCCCAATGGGGCATGGTCATGCTGAAATCCCTTCTCCTCATTTCCCCACGAGTTTTTAAGCTGCTTTTGGGCATGCACACACATGTGCCCAGCATGATTTTCGTTTTTTTTTTTTTTTTTTTGGGCAGATTTTCACTAAAGGGCGCGTGGGCTCGCCAGACAGACAGAGACAGAAAACGAGAAATCACCCCCCCAGGGGGGATGGTCACGCCGCAATCCCTTCTCCTCCATTCTCCTTTCAGGATCTTGGGCACACACGCACACGTGCCCAGTGTGAGTTTTAAGCCACTGGGTCCGGGACGCGAACCGTGGTCGACTATGTGGGAGTCCAGCGACAGCCATTATGCTAACTGCTGGTTCCCCTGGCATGATTTTCAAGCTACCATATCTGGGACCCAAACCCTGGAGTCAGCCATGTGTGATCCAGCGCCTGGGGTTGGGACCGCAACTGCATGGTTGGTCACTTGGGATCTGGCTCCCTTAACCACTAGGCCATGGGGCCGGCGCATGGATAGGCATTTTATTACCACACAGGAAGCAGGGATGAAGATCCCGTTTCAGGTACCTGGAAACACTGCGGGGCGCTTCTATACATACCAGGCCAGTCATTAACGCTCAGGTAGAGAGGCCATCTGTGCTCACTAGGCTTGAGGGTGGGAGCCTTACTGTATTGGGCTTTGTATTCCCAGAGGCTGACACAGAAACCACTGGCATGACGCTGGCCCTCAGGCAATGTTTCAGCTGACTAGTAAATTCTGACAGACTCGCTGGAAATGGCCCTTATTTTACACTGTAATTTAAACAATCCCAGTGAGTGCCCTGATGGAAATAGGTGAATTATAGCCAACATTTATTAGACTTGCTGTTCACCCTGTTGTAAATACCGAATGTAGCTGACTCACTGAAGCCCCGCAACACTTCCAACAGAGTAAAAACCTCAGTTATCCCAACTTACACTCGGGGAAACTGAGGCAGGAAGCAAGTAGATAACCTGTAGCTGAGCCAGAATATAATATAGCTCCTAATCATGGAAAGAAAATCCCAGGGATAAGGAAAGGTAATCACATCCTCACAGGACAAAAATTAACATAATTATTCTCCAGCGATGGCAGGTGGTTTCAGATAAAAATACAACAAGTCTTGCCAGTTCCATTTTAATTTCTTTCACAAAGGGATGAGGCACCTGCACTGGAACTGAAAAGTGATGATTGAATGAAGAAATGCATGCCTCAGTGTATGCTTCCGAGCCATGGGGCTCCAGAGTCAGAGGAAAGTAAACATAACAAGCCACCAGTCCTCTCTCATGTATTAACTGAGATAATATCGTCCCCGGTGTAGCTGCATTTTATAGGGGAGGGGGCTATAAGGTGTCTCTCTCTCTGGTGAGAGAGAGACACACACACACAGAGAAGGAACATGAGAAATCACCCACTACAGGAATGGCCACACTGCAATCCCTGCTCCTCTGGTCGCCTCTCAGGATTTGGGACGTGCACACACATATGCCCGGCATGATTTTTCAAGTCATCAGGTCTGGGACTCAAACCCTGGAGTCAGCCATGTGGGATTCAGTGCCTTAACCTCCACACTACCTGTCGATCCTGTAGCTGTATTTTTAAGAGGAACTTCAGAGAGAAGAATCGAAAGGAATGGAAAGAAGTGATTTTCCAATGGTGGAACTTTAGTTACCAGGACGTGTGAATGACATCCTGGATTTCGCCAATACTGTCACATTGAAAATCGCATCACTCAAGAGGAAGATCAACTTTGCCTATGTGAATCTCGTCAGTTCTCAAATGTCACGGGGTGACAGTCATGCATTTGGATGAACAACTACCGGAGTCCCACTGGCTAACCACCATGCATGCACATCCTGGACTTGTCATCCTCTTTTAATTAAATTGGGTTTCCTATCTAAGATGAGGAGCAACTGCAGCAATAATGCTAGGGACTAGGAAGACTAAACATACAGACCAAATGGGAATCCCATCAGACAAAATATGAGTCCAATGTGATACTCAAAAACTGCATCATGCAGGCTGGCCTGGGGGGTGGTGGTTAAGGTGTTGGATCCCACATAACCGATTATGTGGTTTGAGAACCTGGCAGCTTGAGACCTGGATCTGGCAGCTTGAGAAAAATGTCACGCATGCATGCATGCATGTGCGCCTAAAATTTCAAAAGGAGGGAGAAATGGAGAAGGGATTATGGTGTGGCCATTCCCCACAGGGTGTGCTTTCTTATTTTCCCTCTTTCTCTCTGTTTCTCTATGGCAAGTGTATGTGCCACAACTCATGGCAAATGTTTTTAAAAATTGCATCATGCTTTTTGTTTTGTTTTGTTTTAAAATAAACATTTTTCCTTTTATTAGAATTATTTGTTAATTTTATTCATTGTTATTATTATTATTATTATTATTATTATTATTATTATTTCTTTCAGTTTTTTATAAGGCACATGCACTCGCCAGAGAGAGAGGTAAAGTGAAAGTAAGCCACCAGGTCCAGGATTCAAACTGTGGTTGACCATGTGGGAGTCCAGTGCCTTTAACCTCCATACCACATACATCATGCTTTTAAAAACCTCAACTGGGGCCAGCAGGTGGCATGGTGGTTGGAGCAATGGACTCCTACATGACTGACCATGGTTCAAGTTCCAGACCTAATCACTTGAAAATCACACTGGGCACATGTGTGTGCATGCCCCAAATCCCAGGGGAATGGAGATGAAGAGACTGTGGTATGGCCATCCCCACAGGGGGGTGACTTCTCACTTTCCATCTCATTGTCTCTCTCTGGTGAGTGCATGTGGCCTATGGCAAAAATCTTAAAATAAATAAATAAATAAAAACCTCAACTGTACTTCTATCTTCACGTGACCATTAATGCTAATTAGCAGAATTGCCCAATCATGTGAATCAATGCATAACTTCCCATTAGGGGATGGCTCTCAGCCTGGCCACTGCCATCTTTCATCAGTGTCCATGGACATGAGGGTGACAAGGCCTACTGGGCATGGATGACTTGCCCCTGTTTGTACATTTTGACCCCAAGTAAGATTTCCAGGATAGTTTTCCAGAACAGAAGTTTTAGATGGCTTAAGAACATACTGTCAAGTATCAGAAAGTATTTCAGCCTCTATCTAGTATTTCTAAGTGTGAGTGGTATTTGATAGACAAGTGTATCTCCCCCCTTTCTAGAAAGCAGCAGTAATATTGGGTCCAGGCTGCCAAGCCCCATCCTTTTGCACACTTGGCTCCCTCCAGGACTGTCACAATCCAGGGGGGGGGGTCTGTCAGTTATACAAAAAAGGCCAAATAGCATCATGTTACTGAAGTAAGAGACAGGAACCTTAAAAATATAGTTAGGTATAAGCCCAAACTGGAATAAGTTTTAAGATGGAGACAACTGAAAACAAAGGCTTTTTTTTTTCAGGCTCCAACACATTCTAGAAAGAAGATAATGGTTTTTATTAGTGTATGCTGTAAAGATGTATCGCTATTAAATGTAAATTAGAAATCATAAAATACAATTTAAAACAAAAGATATTGGTTGTTACGGCCCAAAGCTTTTTAGACAAAGAATCTCCTGACCTTTGTACCCATTCCAAAATTAGGAGAACCAATCCAGCATGTGCATCCCCACCATGAGGGAAACTCATGCACAAGTCACACCTGAATACAAGATGGACAAAGTCCCTCTGATCCAGATTTTAAAAAAATCCTGCCTCAGCTCCTCTTCAGCAATGCATTTCTGGACCCTTCCCTTCTTCTCAGGAACTCCGTTCTTCCTTCCCTCTACTTGAATAAACTCTCCACTTTACTATCCTCTCTCTGTGTCCATGTCTCCAATTCTTTGAACCCGTGTCTCACTGTGGGTGCTGGGCTTGACCACCCCTGCACCACCATGTCTCTTTGTCAATACCATCAGAACATACTATGCATCCTAGTGCCTGAGGAAGGAAGCAAATTTACCCTCTCATTCCATCCTCTTTAAAGGTCAGTTTCTTCTCTCATATATTTTTTAATTCCGGTGAAAATTTCTGGTTACCATTATAAGATCTCTGGACCTATTGCTGATCATAGGTTCAAAGCTGTGCATACACTAGACAGCAGAAGAGATAGGCTACCTTTTTTTTGACTTAGCACACCCTTTTGCCCTTTGGTCACCAAAATTATGAGGAGTCTTCTAGAAGTTCATGGGAAAGGCATATTATGAAAAACTATGTACGGATTTCACATTTTTTTTTATCAGAATAAACTCTGATGAACTTGTTATATCACCGAATGGGATGGAGTCTGAGGCACTATGCAAGATATCAGTTTGAAAACAGCCCCTATTAGAGCAACATAAATTCTACTGAAGTGACTACAAGAACAAACATCAAATTTATGGTGAAGTTTTAGGAGAAAAATGGCGAAACATGCTGCATAACAAAAAGTTACAGGTACAATGCCCCAAAGAAATCAATAGTTCATAAATGTTTAACTCATCTTAAGAAGGAACAAGATAATATTAAAGATGATGCTGACAGTGACAGACTATTTACCATTAATTTGTGAGGAAAAAAATTAATCTTGTTTGTGCACTAACTGAAGAAGATTGATAATTGACAGTAGAAAAAATAGCCTACACCATGGACACCTCAATTAGTTCAGCTTAACATCATTTAGAGTTGAGTAAAAACTTGAGCAAACTTTCTGCTTGATGGCTGCCAAAACTGTTGCACCCAGATCAGCTGCAG